GCACATGCCCTATAGCGAAAACCTCTCCAAAAAAAAGGAAAAAAAAAAAAAAAACGATTACACAATCTGTTGATCCCAGTGGGTGATTTCAGTTTTTATTTCTGTTCCTCTCTCTAAGGCATCTTCAAAAATTCACATAAAATATGTATTCTGAAAAAATCATGCATATATTTCTAATATTTTGCACCAAAATCAAGTCACATTTTAATTCCATTTTCCCACACGTTTAAAAAATTTTGCCAGAGGGTGCATGCACTCACCAGAGACAGAGAGAGAAAGGGAGGAAAGAGAGGAAGCACCCCCAGAAGGAATCCCCACGCCACAATCCCTTTTCTTCTATTCCCCTCTCTTGAGGACTTTGGGCACACAGGCACATGCCCCCAGCGTGTTTCTCAAGCCACTGAGTTTGAGACTCTAACTGCATAGTTGGCAAGATGGGATCCAGCCACCTTAACCACCAGACCATGGGCTACTCCTCTGCAAACTTTCTGAAGTCCCCTCATGTTTTTGAAGTTATTTTCAATAACCACATATTCTTATATAAAGAGAAAAGCAAGAAAATGATAACCAAAAATTGCCCTGTCTAAATGGGCCCAGTTCTGAATTTGATTATTTCATCCATTCACTCATTCATTCAAAAACATTTATTAAATTCCTAGTATATACAAGCACTCTGCTCGGTGAGGAGACAGTGTTTAATTAATTTATTTATTTGTTTTTAATTTTTGCCATAGGGCATGTGTGCTCCCAGAGAGACATGGAGGCAGAGAGAAAGGAAAAGTGAGTGATCATTCCCCAGTGGACGGCCATGCCACAATCCCTTCTCCTCCCCATCCCTCCTCAGGACTGGGCATACTTACCTGGTGTGTTTCTCTAGGCACTGGTCTGGGACTCAAGCCATGCAGTTGGCTATGTGGGATCCAGTGCCTTAACTCCATGCCATTTGCTGGTTCAATACTTTTCATTAAATGAAAAAAAGAAGACCTGGTGGGGGAAGCTAGCAGATGGTGCAGTGTGGTTAAGGTGCTGGATTCCCACATGGCTGATGGCAGTTCAAGTCTCAGACCAGGTAGCTTGCTTTCTCACTTTCTTTTCCCTCTCTCTGGTTAACACACGTGCCCTAGAACAAACTTTAAAAATAATAATTATAAATAAAATAAATAATTTTTTAAAAATAAAATAAAAGACCTGGTGGAGGCCAGCAGGTAGCATGGTGATTAAGGCACTGGGCTCCCACATGTTTTTTTTTTTTTTTTTTTCAGTCTGAAAACAGCCACTGTTTATTTACTGACCAGATTACAGAAATAACCATGGTGGATACCTTAGTTCATCCTTCTAATAAGTCAGTTGATCTGGTCTTCCCTGTTGCCAGCATCTCCACCTTCTACAAAATGGGTGGTCTTTTTCTTCATTCCACCTCGTGGAGAAGACCATTTGAAGGCCCACAGGAAGTTATTTGCTTCTTTGAAGCGTTTTCCAACAGTATAGATTTCATGAATCAGATCCTCCATGCAGATGATGCCAAATTTATCAAGAGATCAAGCAATCAAAGAGTTATCTGTCAAAGCAGTTTGTTTCTTATTGATTTCGCCATAACCATGTTTGTAGACAGTTCATTTACTGACTTCAGGTTTGGGTACCCTCACGCAATATATGGTTCCACAATTCTCAGCATGTTAATCGAGGCCTTGTTGAGCTTAACAAAGATGCCATTGAAGATCTGGCGAAGACAAAGAAGCTGCAACACCTTTCGAACCTTTGGGCTCACTCCATTGATACCTCTGATCCTGATGACAAATACCAATTTGGGTTCTGCAGGTACATAGAAGTTGCCAGCTTTTCTTGCCGTCCTGGCCATGCGAATCTCAGTTCTGTACATCTGCCTATAGTCCTTATGATAGTGCTGAGCTTTTTCATAGATAAGCTTCCTCCTCGCCTTTCAAAGCATCTTTTGAGCAAACTTCTTTCTCAGGTGCTTGATCTTCAGCTCTGCAAAATTCCTTCATGATTTCTTAAGGGTTTCTGGCACAGCAGTAACCTTTTTCTTGGTTTCTGCCACAGTAGGAACCTTCTTTTTCTTCTCTTGAACGACCTCCATGGTTCCAGCCAGAAAAGAGGCCTGGTGGCTTGCTTTCTCACTTTCTCTCTCTCTCTCTCTCTCTCTTTCTCTCTCTCTCTCTCTCTCTCTCTCTCTGATGACTACAGCAAATTTAAATAATAATAAATAAATAAATAAATAGATAGATAGATAGATAAATCTAAATAAATTATCCTTTTTTTAAAAGCTTTGGCTTCTGCCTTGAAGAAAGTGCTCTTGGTGAATGGGAGGTGCCCGTAGGAGCTGCTGGTCTCAAGGCCGAATGCCACCAGGCCCAGCTGGGGCTCAGAAGGCACTGCTCTTCCCTAGATCTGAGAAATGGCCTCGGAGGTGCATCGCACCATGCCAGAAGGAGAGTTAGCCTCAGAGCTGGACCTGAAGAGAGAGGTTCTGAAGAGAGGGCTGGGAGTGATGAGTGAAGAGGACACAGGAGAATAAGAAGCACCCTCAGGGCCAGCTGGTGGAGTGGAGGCTAAGGCTCTGGGTCCCACATAGCCCACTGCACAGTTCAAGTCCTGGACCCAGCGACTTGAGAATCACGCAGGGCACATGGAGCCAAAAATCCCAAGGAGAGAATGAGTAGAAGGGGTTGCAGCATGGCCATCCCCCCTCAGAAAAGTGAAAAAAAACTCTCTGTCTCCTGAGTCCTCCCAGCTACTCTGCCTCCTGCCAGTTGGAGCCCATAGTGGAGAGGCTTGGCAGGGGGAATGACCCTATGGACTGCAGGACTGCAGACGTTCGTCTGAAGGCCGGGACACTCCATCTGCCATTAGATAAGTGACTAGAGAACTCCAGAAGCCTCCTGAAGCACCCCCGAGCCTGCATTCAGCCTCCTCCTGTTATTAAGACGGCATTGCCCTTTAACTGGTAGGATTGGAAACTCCCACACACATCAATCAACTTTCCCAGCAAGGAAACCACCCCCAGGAAATGGGGCACTTGGCCCCGTCTGTAAAAAGCCCCTGCAGCCTCCAGGGGTACCGCTCTGCTACCCCACAGGGTCACTCATATTCCAAATGGACTCAAGGCATCTGCTTGGAATCGTGTTTCCCAGAAATGCTACAAAGTTTGTGTTGATCTTTCTCCAGAAGATCACTTGTGACCAGTGTACACTTGGAGACCCAGCTGAGGTCTAGAGGGGAGCCGCAGAGGACTGAATGCATGACCTCATTAGCACAGGGTTCTAATCAACTCAGCCACCAGGCGCATACCTCATTCAAGGCACTGAGGCAGTAATTTGCTAAATGTTAATTTTTAGATTAACTACAGATGAGTAGAGTTCCTAGGGGAAAAAGTGAGAGATCTGTTCATTCTTGAAAGGAAATTTAGGTCATCGGTTTCAGATCCCTTTGGGTAATTTTAAGGTGTACTTCCAGGATCTTAAGGTGATGTCCATTGGAGTCTGTGCATCCATTATTATTACTTTTTAAATCAATATCCTGATTGGGAGACGTTGAAGGAAAAAACAAGTGACCTCACGTCTGCCTTTGCAAACGGGCCGTGCACCGTGATTCTCACGAACTCCCCTGCAGTCTGTTTCTCGGCCAACACAGGCAGCGAGATAGAAGAGCACGTCTCATGTCTGAGCAGAAGTGGTCCTCCTGGAGCAGGAAGGGCTGGACCACTACCCTGGCCCCTAAAGAGACACCCCTTGGTGCTGTGGAGAGAAGGGTCCCTCAGCGTGGGCGAGGGGAGCCCGGATCTGCAGGCCCTCGGGCATGCAGGAACCCAACCCACCGTTGGGTTCTCTTACCTGATCCTCCAGCTAGCCCCCGAGGAGCCAGCTTCACAAACAGCAAATGGGATTTGGAACACAGTTTTGACACCGCCTTGAAATCTTGGGCTCAGATTACATTCCTATGAATATTCCACGACTCTTCAGCTCCGAGGGAAAGTTTCCGTTCCAAGGCTGCATTTAACAGGCAGGCCATTTCAGTTCCAGTGGCTTCCACCCCAACAGCGATCTTTGAAACTGATACGGGCCTGAAAGAAACCAGAATAACTTTTCTCAAATATTAATAATAATGGGCTGGCTTCCCAGTCTTTGTAATCTCGGAGAAGAAGCTCTGTGAGGAAGCGGTGTGGGAACGGAATGGCGGATGTGCCCACATCGGCTTTCCCAGACCAAGCCTGCTTGGAAATGCACGATGGCCTTGCGGGAGCATTTGCACCTCGAGGGAGAGCATGGGAGTCCAGCCTCACGTTGGCACTTAGCACCTTCTGTCCCAGGAGCTTGAAGACCACGGTGGAATACCCTGTTGCCTGTCAAAAATGAGGCCCCCAGGGAACCAGCAGTTAGCGTAATGGCTATGTCACTGGACTCCCACGTAGTCGACAGCAGTTTGCGTCCCGGACCCGGTGGCTTAAAACTCACGCCGGGCGTGTGTGCGTGCGTGCCCAAGATCCCGAGAGGAGAATGGAGGAGAAGGGATTGCGGTGTGACCATCCCCCCGGGGGGGTGATTTCTCGCTTTCTGTCTCTATGTCTCTCTCTGTCTGGCGAGCGCACACGCCCTACAGTGAA